ACTACCCATTTTCTCTTAATGCCTTATTTTTTCTCTACCACTATATACGTGCTGAGAATCTAAGCCAGGACAACCAGTACCTTGTGAGAGGTGCTTGCAGTGATAAAGAGCCTATTTTATATCAAGAAGCAGTTGTGAATTCTGCCTGGAAAGCAGCCATGATACAAGAATTTGAAGCATTGCATGCCAATAACATCTGGGAGCCAATACCACTACCAGTTGGGAAACAAACACTAGGGTGTAAGTGGGTGCATAAAGTGAAACATAAGGTAGATGGTAGCATAAGAGAGGTTCAAGACTAGTTTGGTTGTGAAAAGTTATACCCAACATGCTAGAATTGATTACATAGAAACATTCAGCCATGTGGTAAAAATCACAACAATGAGGGCCCTAATAGTTGTTGCAGTCAAGAAAGACTGGGGCATATTCCAATTAAATGTAAATGCCTTTCTTCACGGGGATCTCTATGAAGATGTATATATGAAAGTGCCACAAGGCTTAGTAGTAGACAGTGGAAATCTGGTATGCAAACTTAAGAAGTCCTTATATGGTCTCAAGCAAGCAATTAGACAGTGGTATGCCAAGTTGAGTGAAGCACTATGTTGCAAAGGCTACACTCATTCCATATATGATTACTCACTTTTCTACAAGAAGACAACTGAATCAACAATATATGCGGCAGTATATGTAGATGATATGGTCCTGACAGGAATAAACAAAAAGGAGATAGATGAGCTGAAGGCATTTCTACATAACAGCTTCAAAATCAAATACCTGGAAAACTACACTACTTTCTAAAGGAGTACAACTGTACGGATTACAGTAGCCTTCCCTCTCCACTTGATCCAACAGTGAAGTTGAAAGCTAAAGAGGGCACTACTTTGATTGATCCAACCTATTACAGGAAACTAATTGGGAAACTGAACTTCCTTACCAACACAAGGATGTACATAGCTTATAGTGTACAACACCTTAGCCAATTCATGCAAGATCCCAGAGAACCCCACTTGAAAGCAGCTTTTCACTTACTCAGGTACTTGAAGTGTGATCCCACCACGGGGAACTTCATGTCACATGAGCCAAACAGTAAAATCAAAGTTTATTGTAACTCTTACTAGGCTGGTTGCCCAAACTCAAGGAAGTCCGTCAGTGGATACATAATTCTATTAGGGAATAGTCCTGTGGTTGGAAATCCAAGAAGCAGGAGACTATTTTTGTATCATCAACGAAGGCAGAATACAGAGCACTCAGAAAAGTAGTAGGAGAGTTGGTATGGTTATGCCGATTACTTGAAGAAGTTACTGTGCCTTTTGCTAAACCTGTAGAAGTTTTTTGTGCTAGCCAATCAGCTCTACACATAGCTAGAAACCCTGTGTTTCATGAGAGGACTAAGCACATAGAGGTGGGCTGTCATTTTGTAAGAAGCAAGCTGCATGAAGGGTTGATTTCACTCCACCATATTGCAACAAGCAATCGGCTAGCTAATGTTCACACCAAGACCTTAACAGGAGTAAAGCATACAACAATATTGGGCAAGTTGGCAGTGTGTACAACACCTTCAACTTGGGTGGGAGGGGGTTATTGAGACTTGTATAATTATATTTTCGTATGTAATGTTAGTTAGTTGTGTAGGTAGTGTTTGTTAGTGGGCCAACTCAGCATTAGTTGTAATGTGGAACTACACGTATATATATTTTGTACTATACTTAGAAATCAAAGTGAGCTTTCACTTTCCTAAATTTTGTTTCCGCTCATAACCTCTCACTCTCAAAATTCTCTAGAAGAACTCCATTGAAGCTCCAGACCGAGCTTCAAGCTCATCATCATTCATATTTTTAACAATCATTCATCTAAATCGAGAAGAGCTATATCTTACATACAGATTAATGCATTTGTCGATACGTATCGGATACGTGTGTCTGCAAAAGATCCGATACAAACACCCCAAGCTTCTTTTTTTGGTTAAATTTTTAGTATTTTTTTACTGGATCAACTCGAATTATGTATACATATATTACACCCGTTCGACACAAGTACGTTAGGGCAAATAAAAGGATTCACGTAGAACGTGTGATCTAGAGATACCCATGCTTTGGCCAACAACCGTAGATAATAGAGTGGACAATTATTGGGTACTACTACTATTTTTGTTTGGCTCTATAGCTTATAGGCCATAGCTATTTACTAGAATTCTCCGAAAGTGAGAAGGATTAATTAATTAATCTCTAGGTAAATCATTGACATCTATTCTTGATTCTGTGTGGATCTCTTTGGACTCTGTACTTACTGAGAATTGTGTGATATAAATCCAGTGATTACTCACCAACGTCCACTAATCATTAAAAGAGTCTAGGCATATGATTGTATGGGAAGGAAAGAAGGGTAGGATAGATCCTACTACGCCACAATTATACACTAATTAATTTCTTTTTTTAATTATTATACACTAATTAAAATGTTAAAAGTAGTGGCCAGTACTAATCTGCTAGCCGCTTGTGTGTGGAATGGGTCAAACAATACAGTTGCATCATGCATGGTCAAGAAGGAAACCTCATATACCACCCCCATAAGGCCAACTACTCCCTTTCTCTTTAATCAAACAATTTATAAAATACCCACAAGAAGGAATGAAGAAAAAGAATATCTTATTAAATGGTCCAAAACATGTAATAAAGCTAAATCAAATTCTTGGTAGGTACAAAGAGAAGTTTATTAAGGTATATATACTCTAATAAGTATTTTCTCCGGTCCACTTTAATTGATTTTGGCCTTTTGTGTGGCTTACAATATATATTTGATTTTTTCAGATATCAAGAAGGAGTTAACTTTTTTTTTCCAAAGTTACCCTTGGAGTAAAGAGTCTAGGGGCTAGGAGTATATGTTATGTTTCCAATGAATAAATTAAGGTTAGCATGGTCAATTATATTAATGTTAAAAGGTGGATTCCTTAGGGTAAAAACAACCAATAAATCAATTAAAGTGGACCGAAGGGAGTAGTATTTTAGTAACAAAAAATAATATAAGTCCCTACGCTCATGATGATATAGGAGGCACAATATTTTGGATGAAGCGTCCCCTCTTCAGCCGAGCACAATTGTGCTTGCATGTGAGTTTATTTTTCTAATTAGAAACCTAATTACACTTTCGCTTTCATAATCATCATATTCATACCCCACAAACCATGGCCAAACTTCTCTTCTAATCTCATTCTCCGCCAATCCTTTCTTGATTTATACGTTTCTGATTAGTAAGTAATTAAGCTATCCTAGAATATATTGATTAATCAATAAGGCTTGAGATTTGAGCGTTCAAACCTCATAAAAGGAAAGGTGTAGGACTACCTAATCTTCTTTCCTTTTTTCTTCTTTTAGTACTTTATTGTAATACTCATACTCATATATATATTTAGAGCCCGTTTGGACATATAAAAAATTTAATATTTTTTAAAATCAGTGTTTGACTATAAAGTTTTCAATTTTCACATGAAGATAATTTTGGAATTCTTTGAAAATTTAAAAAACTTCAAAAAACTGTTTTTCAAAATTTTCACTCAGATCACTTACAAAATTCAAAACAACCCAAAATTATATTCATGTCCAAACACAATTCTAATTTTCAAATAACATTTTCACTTTAAAAAANTATATATGCATGTGATTTTCTGCATATCCCTTTGACTGTTACGAAGCAAGTAGGAGTATTTGATATGTTTATGACCCACATCGACTTTGGCTTTGAATATTTAACATTAAGTTCCATGCCCCAACATTAATTCCTTCTTTGCATGATTGTTCAAATTGCCTAACTGATTTTTGTTAATAATCATAGTGTAAGCGTGTGCTTCATCCTATTGTCATCATTCCATTAACTTCTTTAGATACGTTTCTTTTAATAATTGTTAATATATAAATCAAATCTTAGCTTGAAAATGCTGGAGAATATTTCTTCTGTACTAGAGTATCTCGTTGATGCAACTATACTATTATTGGATCTTTTCTCGTGATTAATTAATAGAATTCTTGACGGCAGTTATTGATTCGATATGCATATTGTGGGATCTCTATAGGGAATGGACAAGTGGTGTTGCATTCCTCGCCCAAACCACGCACATACATCTTTTTTTATTTATGGCTTTAGCAAAACAAATTTGATCTGAAATTAATATAATAGTTATCGCTTTCAAAAAGAAAATAAAAAATTTGCAAGTTCACTTTTAATGCTCCAATAAGGCACATAGTTATTAGTTACTAATTACTCATCGAAGGAAGATACAAGAATTATTTAGTCAAATATATATATATATATATATATATATAATTAAGGTCTTCAAATGATTTCTTATCTCTCTACCTTCTTGTTTGTTCTTTTAGTTATTATGGGATTCTTTTTACTCCATTTCTTTGAGCATTCTTTTTTTCTTTCCCTCTTTTTAACCTTCATCGATCCTTAACAGATCAGTAACTCCGAGTTCCAAAGGGGATCGTAATTAGTGTTTTCAATTACCTCTTATGTGGGAACTCCCAAATTAGTGAAGGCAGCTTAGTGAATTTCACTTGTCGAAACCTTTGTTGTTCTGGGTTCCTTCCTTAGCTATTTATTAATTAGTGCAATACTGCAATCCTTGAGATAGTCAGATAGTATAACGTGAATCTATATAGTGGAAGGCTGAAATATTGATACGGAATCCATTTCATCTAAGTTTTTTTCACACTTCTTAGGATATAAAGTTAATAAATAAATATATTAAAAAAAGTAGACAAGCTTTACCTATGAAGGGAGCAGGAAGCTTCAAATCCCAATTTTAGATATCGTGGAATTATTTGTAGTAGTACGTCTAAACGACTAACAAATTCAACACAGACATGGAAATCGGGACCCTCTTACTCGTGGCTCAAGAAATTGACTAAGAATATTTTAATGCACTCAAGATCATTTGTGTAAACTCAAATTCCCTTTTGCAGTTGTTAGGATTTTGTCCCTTGGAGTTGATTTGCTTGAAGTTGCAAGTCTAACAGTCTTCTGACTCAATGCGCCACCTTTAATAGGAGGCAATATTCTGCTTTTGTCCATGTTCACATTTTTAATGGAAAGCTGATTCTCTACTAGAGTAATACATCAGTCTTCCAATTTGGGTAAAGATAGAATAAAGACAACAAAAACTATATGATGTCTTCTAGCTAGTGAAAATTCATAGTTAAAGCCTGCAAAATTTACAAGGTTTCTTGTGAAAAACCAAAGACTTGGAGATAGAGATCGGACATCGATTCGTTGTTCGATTCATTACGTCAGCACCTTCTCGCATTTGGAAAAACAAAAAGATGAAAAAGTCCAACCTGAAGATTAAGTTTTTCATCCACGCCCAGGAGTACTGAAAGTTCGCAGGAGTCAGAAACTACAAAACTGGAATGGACTTGGCTCGAATAAAGTGTTTGAGAATGGCTTTCTCCTCATCAATGCGCCTTTTCTCCTCGTGATCTTTTGGCTCAACTCTTCTCTTTTCTTCCAACATCCACTTAAATAGTTCACGCTGTTGATTCTCAGGTATTGGCTCACGTACAATCACAGGCAGCACAGGAGGTGGAGTGGCGACTTCTTTAGTGACTTCCTTTTCTTTTTCACCAACTGCCATAGCAGCTGTTGTTGAAGCGGCGCTAGGAACATATGGCATTTCTCCTTCCTCGGTTCCCACATCTTTCTTCTTTGTCCTCATGAAAAGGTAAGCTACACAAATTGCAAAAATAGATGAAGCGCCACGAAGGTAAAAGTAAGTGGTAGAGTTCTAAAATAGAGAACCGGAAAGACCTGCTGCATACAGCTGTAGAGGTACCACAAGGTTGTGAGCATGGAAAGAGAGGGAAGAAACATTACAGATATCAGGGTAACATGGAAATAAGAGACAGAAAAAGAAACAATGAACATTAAATTGTTGAAACAAATAACCAGGAACATCAATTTTCGTTTCTTCTTTCTGGTGATAATTAGAATTTAGAGCACCAAGACCATTTCGCACAGCCAAATTAGTCAAATTTTCATCACAAACAAATATACAATTCTATATTGGAATTAAATATCTCATCTTACCGTCACTATATACTAAAGATACATAGTGCAAGAACACAAAGGACTTCCACTTGCAGCCAACCAAATTAGAAGTGGAAATCAAGAATGTGCTTTAACAAGTTTGATGGAATCAATCCATACTACTTGCTTCTTAATTATAACTGTCCATGCTGAAACTAGTTTAAAAAAGATACAGATCAATTTAAATCTATGACTATGTTGCTTAAAGCACAGTTGTACAAGTGGACCATTTAGTATGTCTATGGTTCCTTCTATAATGATGTACCTCTTTTGAGGATTTCCATCACTGCTAATTTAAGCTTTTCATAAGTTCTTATCACAATTCTGAAACAATCCCCTACTTTGACCAAAGTAATCTGCACTAGATTTGGATTGTCCAACAACTTATATTCAATCCTCATGAATCAGATGGATTAACCATCTAAATTTTAATCAGCTGGGTTAAACTATTTAAGATATTAGTGTTTGGATCAAGATCGTCAAACCTCATAGACCCTGCAAAGTTAAATCAGCACTGTAACAGAATAAAAATGATCCTCCACCACAGGTAACCACTTCTCCATAATGATGGCAAGAACATAGTTGCATGAACTGTTCAGTAGTTTTCTCGTCTATGGGAAGCACACAATTAAGAGGGATTACATTCCAGAGAAGAGACAAAATACAAAAGCTTACAGGAGAATTGCCATGTAATTTTCACTGTTTCTGCAGTTTCTCGGACCGTATAGTGTTCGGTCATTCTTGGGTAGTATTTCAGTATTCTGTGCAGAAGGACAAAGTTGAAGGCTTTCAAACTAAGGGGTCGTTTGGTATGCAGGAATAAGGTGGGATAAGGTAGAATTAAGTGTGAGATTAAATTTATACTGCGTTTAGTTGACAATATAAAATTATAATTTATACTTGTAACCAGCGAAGGGGAGCCTTGGCGTAACTGGTAAAGTTGTTGACATGTGACCAGGAGGTCACGGGTTCGAGCCGTGGAAACTGCCAATTGCAGAAATGCAGGGTAAGACTGCGCACAATAGACCTTTGTGGTCTAGCCCTTCTCCGGACCCCGCGCATACTGGGAGCTTAGTGCACCGGGTTGTCCTTTATAGCGTCAACCAAACACATTATAAATTTAATCTCATACTTAATCTTGGATATTCCACTTTATCCCATTAAACTTGGGATTATTTTATCCCACCTCCCATGTGGGATAAATTAGTCCAGGGATTATAAACCCAGGACTTAATCCCGGGATAATTTAGTACGCGTACCAAACGACCCCTGAAGGTGGTCGCATTATTGGTCGTAGATATCAGTCGGCTCAGATTTGAACTTCTTTGGTTTAGGCCTCTAAATGAATCACACCATTCAAAATTCAGAGCAACTAATATATGGTGGCATGACAAGAAATTGTTTATACCACCAAGGAGCGAGGTGGGATGGCCGGGATCCCTCCACTCTTAACGAAAGGTCTCAGATTCGAGCCTTGAGGAGGGAGAACTTCTTGATGGAGAGCATTTATCCCCTTAGTAGGCCTACTTGGCACGAAGCTGGATTAGTTGGGCTAGTGAGTTCCGGATATGGGATCGTTAAACAATAATAAGAAAAAAAATTGTATATTGTTTGCACTATGTGGAGTCAGGAATATTGTGATTATTAAGCTGAGTAAATTACAACAATCATAAAACTGCCAAATGCGAAAAGAGGAAATCTTGTCTGCTGACGTATAACAAGAACCAAAATGAAGACAAAGCAAACCAATTTAGAACAATAGAGCAAGAAGGGCAAAAAGAAAGACAGGAAAACAGCCAGTGACTTCAAGGACAAAAGGAGGATTCTCCCATTTCTAAATCATTTTCCCCAAATCTGCAAAACCCCTGTAATCTTGGCATAGTTAGTCTAGGCCTATTGCAGCATAACCTGCATCATTTCACTAGGCATCCTCGTCTAAGCTTCTTACCTCCTATGTCTATCATGACTTTTCGTCAATGCAAATAAAGCTGCAGTAAATTTCTAACCTCTTAAGCATCTCTGGATATGACTGTACGAGATATAAGCTACTCAGATTGAATTACAAAAAGTTAACAGCTAAAGACAGGAATTTGGCTACTAACATAATAAAAAGCTTGAATCTTTCTTTAAGAAAGCAAACACCTGATTGTGTTTTTTACTATGGATTTTTAATTTCAGAACAATATCAGAATAGTGCACTTAAAAGTAAATTAAAACATACAAAGCAGATCCATAAAAGTGCAATCAGAAATGCCCTAGTCTAAAGTCAAAGACTTCGGAACTTTTTATTGAAATTAAGGAGCATTGGGCAGAAGAGATGCAGTAGTGGTAAAAAGTAAAGAGTAAAAGTGGAACCTCCGATAGAGAAATTGACAGCCAATAGCATAGGCCAGAGGTACTTATAACGACGGACAAAAGATTCCTTAGGCGGCTGAGGTGGTGGAGCCGCACTGCGTGCAGATGCTGATGACGCCATCGACGACGACGAAGACGGCGGCGGCGGTGGAGAAGATGCCTGTTGTTGCTGATGCTGCTTCAGCTGCGCTGTAAATCGGAATATAAAATGGATATTAATAATTGAAATGTCGCTCTCCGAAAGATCATTATTGGGATATTTTTCTCCGCTGGAAATATATTATAGTGATTACCTTTTTTAGGTTTATTGACGTATAATTTTGGAGACACACCCATTATTTGCTACAGCTCCCTTTCTTTCTACCTTTTCCTCTTTACTCAGGTGGAATTGGCTATCGACCATGACATTGTTTAAACGCTTCACTCTTCACTCGTCGGCGTCGGCGTTTCTTCTCCCTTGTTGAGGCAAATTACCGCAGTCACACAAGACGTTGTCGTTTTAACCAAAATAATTGATTAAATTATGCCCCCTCCCCCCCCCCCCCC